TTCTCTTAACTTGAGTGGTCATTGAAAATGGGGAAAAAAAAAAAGATACACAAACATTTGTGTATATTGGAATGGGAAGGAATAATAGGGAAAAAATTAAAATATAAAAGAAATGGATATAAACAAATTCCTTATAAAGTACCTATCAAGAACTTACACTACATCAGGCATTCTTTAGGTATCCAGGATTCCTCAACCCCAGCACTATTGACACTTTGGACTAAATAATTCTTTGTTGTGAGGCAACTGTTCTGTGCATGACAGGACATTTAGCACCATCCCTGGCCTCTACCCACTAGATGTCAGCAGCACCCCTCGCCCCCGCCAAGTTATGAGAAACAAAAATGTCTCGAATTTGCCAGATATCCCCAGGGAGCAAAATCGCCTCTGGTTACGTACCACTGTGCTAGATAACACAAAAACTGCCCTGCCTTCTAGTTGCAATTTTTGATTTATGCCCCTTAAGGACAGTAAGTCCTCAAAACCTCAGTGCATTATCTGGTGTAGAGGTTGTCAAACGTCCTCTTCTCCATTGCTAGGCTACTGCTGACTTCTGACCAAGTGGAGGGGGTTGGGGAGGTTCTGGGAGCGTCCAGTTCCTTACTCTCAGTTATGCTTTCTAAGCCTCTCATCATTTCCATTAGCATTCTGATCTTTTAGAAAGCTTTTCTAGAGCAGCGAATCACTAACATTCATCTGATATTTACATTGTCCATAAATATTAGAAGTATCAAATCAACACACAAAAATAAGAAGTCAAGTTTTGCATTGAAGTGGAAATTTTAGGAAATGTTCTACATCAGTAGGCATCTTCTGTTAGAGGTTTGTGATTCTAAGTAATTAGTACCACGATGTTTCCTAGTTATCCTTTTTAACTCAGAGTCGGCTGTGAGTAAGTGATAAAGAATGGAAGGGAGGTGTTTGTTTATGTTTAGTTTTCACAAACATGTCATGATGTACCCAGTGACTTGAAAACCTTCAAAAATATTCATTAACAGATATGCTGATGAGGTTTGCAGGTTTTCAACCTCATATTCTTACTGTATTAGTCTAAAGAGATTCTTGGGAGAATCGTATGGCATTACATTACCCACAGTTTTTTCTTCAGAGAGAAACAACAACGAACACCAGTGCATTTCAAAATTCCCTAAGGTGTCATTGGCCGAGCAGACCAAGAGCTTTGTCTCTATGCCCCAGGAAAAGAAAGGGGCAGAAACAGGAAGAAACTAGCTGAAGTCACCAGGCTCATGCCTGTAATCCCAGCACTTTGGAGGCCAAGGCAGGCGGATCACTGGAGGTCAGGAGTTTGAGACCAGCCTGGCCAACATGGTGAAAGCCCATCTCTACTAAAAATACAAAAATTAGCCGGGCGTAGTGGCGCACTATTGTAGTCCCAGCTACTCAGGAGGCTAAGTCAGGAGACTCACTTGAACCCAGGAGGCAGAGGTTTCAGTAAGCCGAGATTGCACCATGGCACTCCAGCCTAGGTGACAGAGCAAGACTCCATCTCCAAAAAGAAAGAAAGAAAAGAAAACCCTATGAAGTTGTTAACTTTGACCAGATCTCTAAATGGTGAGTTGCCCCAGATTCAGGCCTTGGAATTCTTATCTCCCTCACTTTCTAGGAAATCTTATCCACTCCTGTGGTAATACATACCAACTCCCAAATGTATATCTTCAAACCCAGACTTCTTTGAGCTCCAGTCTTGTATATCCAACTGTCTTCTCCATATCACACTTGATTGTCTCAAATTTAACACATCCCCCACAAATCCCCTTTCTTCTCTCTCCCAGATTTCTGTTCAGCCAATTGTATTTGCATGTTTCCAATTATTCAGGTAACAAACAGTGGAATCACCTTGATATCTCCCTTTCTCTTATCCCCTGCATGTAATCACCAACAAATTCTGGCAGTTCTCTCAAATATTTCCAGAATCCAACCACTTCTCACCCTTCTACTGGCAACCAACCTGGATTCCGCCATCTTCATCTAGATTTTTAGGACAACTGACGTCCATGTTTGCCCCATCCAGTCTATTCTCCACACAGTGTAACTGTTTACATTTCAAGTCATAGCATGTTTCCTCTCTGTTCAGAATTCCAATGGCTTCCCTAAAGCCTTTCCATGCACAAGGCCCTGTCTATCTGACCATCTGCCTCCTCTCTGACTTCATTTCACCTTTCTACTCTCTCAGCTCTTGCTTCAAGCTCTGTAGTTACTCTTCCATCTCTCTGGAGCACACTCCCTTTGAAACCCTCACGTCTCTTCATGTCTCTGCTCAAATGACACTTTATCAGAGAGAACTTCCCTCACCACACTGTGTGAAATAGTGCCCCCTCCCCAGGCTTTCTCAGTATTATATATCCTGCTGTTTACAGTCCCTATCCTGCTTTTCTCATCAAAAATATTTTTTCTTCATAAATAATTGTGTGTGTGTGTGTATACACACACATATACATCTGAAATATATACATATTTGTATTACACATTTATTAATGTAGGGGTTGACAAACTATGGCCCAGGACCAAATCTAACCCTGGCCTGATTTTGTACAGACACAAGCTAAAAATGGTTTTTACATTATTAAAAGGCTGTAAAATAAAAAGGGGGGGAAAAGATGAATAAGCAACAGAAAGCATATGTGGACTGCAAAACCTAAAATATTTAGCATCTGGCCCCTTAGAGAAAAAGGTTGCCAGCTCCCGTATTGTCTCCCACTAGAATGTAAACTCCTTGAGCTCAGGGACTCTGTTTTGGTCACCATAAGATCCCCAGCACATAGAAGAGTGCCTGGTTCAAAGTAGATGTTAAGTAAATATTTTTAAAAGAATGAATGAATAAAGACAATGAGTTTTTGTGGTTTTTTGTTTGTTTGTTTGTTTGCTTGTTTTTTGAGACGGGGTCTCACTCTGTTGCCCAGGCTGGAGTGCAGTGGTGTGATCATAGCTCACTACAAGCTCGACCACTTGGGCTCAAACAATCCTCTCACCTCAGCCTCCCATGTAGCTGGGACCACAGGTGCATGACCAGCTGATTTTTTTTAATATTTGTAGAGACTGAGGTCTCACTATGTTGCCCAGGCTCATCTCTAACTCCTGGGCTCAAGCAATCTTCCTGCCTCAGCTTCCCAAAGTGCTGGATTATAGGCGTGAGCCACTTCTCTCGGCCCAACACTGAGTCTTAGTGAGGTAAGGCCACTTGTCTACGGTCACATAGGAAGCTGGCAGATGAACCAGGATTCAAACCCAGGTCCACCTGATTCCACAGCTAGGTCCTGATGTCCAAGCGCTGCTTGCAGCAATGATTTGAACCTTCTTGTTTTCTATCTTTGTAGACTGTCTTTAACAGGCAAATTAGGTAACTACCTAGTGGGACAGGGGATAAAAGAAGAAAGATATACAGTATGTTGCAGAAAACTTTTAAAAATTATATCATAACAAATTTACATCTGATATCAACCATAGTCAGTGTGCTTTCATATACGTCATCTCTTAGTGTCACCAAATATCTGTATAGGGTAATGAGCGTAATCTGTAATTATGCTCATTACACACATTACAAAACTGAGTTTCAGAGAGGTTAAGGGAACTGGCTTTCACAAGAAGTGAGTAGCAGAGACAGAATCGAATCCAGATTTATCACTTTTAGCGCAGAGCTTTCCCGTTTACCAAACTGGACCAACATATATCCCCACAGCTCTGCTGAAGGGTAAAAGTGCTGCCACGGATGTGGAGGAATTTTAATAAAATGGCAGTCACAGTTCAGACACTTCTAAGAAACCAGGGGCTACTCCATTTCACTTAGAGGTCTGTGGTGTGCAAGAAAACCTGCTCAGTTATAAACGCCAATCTACCAATGGCCAGAGGCAGCAGCAAAGTAAGAACTTTGAGACTGAAGCAATGAGCAAGAGAGCTGTCAAGCTGACCACATCTTGGCCTTTTATTGGTGTGTCAATAGCACAGCATTTTTGAGCTGCCAGACCCATGACCATCTTCAAGAAGGAAGCCAAGAAAACTGACAGTTCTCTTAGCTGACACGAATATCCACAGCTGTCACCTCCTGGACCAGCTGCTGAATCTAATCAGCCATCCTCCGAGGCAGCTGACTTTAGAGCCTTAGTGTATTTGGCTGAGAAACTATGTGTGTTACGTGGCTGCCAAGGGCCAGCCTTCTGCGTGATTGCCAGTGTATGTTTTTATAGAGTAGAGGTCACGATGCTGCCCCCTGGAGTTTATTTGAATCTGACACGCAGCTGTATGCTGGCCAAGATAACAGCTCAGCATGCTTGCAACAGTCCAGTTTCAAATGTCGGTCTCTTTGTCGCTGTAAGTTCCTTGTGATGTGTGCTCTTCCCCACGCCGCCCCCCAAGAAAAAGTAATCTCTATAAACAGCTGCAGTTGAAGCTACTATACTAGATTTTGTCCATTTTTGCATCTCTTCACCCTACTCACTATAATATGGCCCAACTCTTAGGAAATTGAAATTAAATCAAAGTGTCATTTTCAATGTTAGAATATGCAAGAATTTTAAGTATCAAATGGCTATGATTATTAAATCCGTTTAATAATTACAACGTTTTCTTCAAATAATGTATATGATGACTTGGATATGAAAAACTGGTGAACTACATAATAACTACAAATGTACCATTCCTTTCAGTACAACTTTAAACTTATGTCTCTGTATTTTAAAAATCACTTTTATTTGGAAGTAACATTAGTAATTGCAATGAAGAAAATGGAGCAAAAGTCAAATGCTTTACCTAATATGTTTCTTTGTCCAAAAAAGAAACCTTGAAAATTGTTCAAAATCAGGCATTAGGTACCTTCTATAAAGTATCATGCTTGGTGTGATGCTAAGTGTGACATGATGTTCTTAGAAGGTGTCTGGCTACTTACACACGTATTCCAAGGAAAGTTTATATATGGGGAAGATACATTTGAGAACTCTGCATTTGTACTGTGTTAAGCAATAAAAAGTACACCTTTTTGTTGTCAGGCTTGAGAAAGAGATCCAAGATCTTGAAAAAGCTGAACTGCAAATCTCAACAAAGGAAGAGGCCATTTTAAAGAAACTAAAGTCAATTGAGCGGACAACAGAAGACATTATAAGAGTGAGCATTAACCAATTTTAAAACTGTAATTCTCTCTCAAAATGAATCCACAAATACCATATAATTTTTCAAAGCATATCCACATTTAGATTCTATGTTTTAAACTGTATTAATCATGGAGAATTCTTTTTTCTTACAGTCTGTGAAAGTGGAAAGGGAAGAAAGAGCAGAAGGTATGTTTTTGAATAACTTACTTTATGTTAAACTAAGTTTTTTTGGTAATTTGAAATGGTTCCCATTGTAAATATATTCTAAATGTATTTTGAATTCATTAATTTTACAGAGTCAATTGAGGACATCTACGCTAATATCCCTGACCTTCCAAAGTCCTACATACCTTCTAGGTTAAGGAAGGAAATAAATGAAGAAAAAGAAGATGATGAACAAAATAGGAAAGGTATATGAAAAACCTTGTTGAAGGGCATGTTCTTAATTTCAGATTTTACAGTGTCAAATAGTCACAACTTGCTAGAACAGATTATTCTTCCAGGTTAAGCAATGGTTCATTTTACAAAGTTCTATGAGGTAGGTTAGTCACTGCATAGGTGAGGATAATGGGGGTATATTAATAGCATTTATTCCATACATTTTATTCCCTAACAAACCAGACAGGGATAAGGAAGATAGAGACCCGAAGGAGACAAGAAGCTCTTAAAAGCAAAGCTTCCCTGGTCAAAAAAGTATTTATCCTGATATATTCCATCCAATAGACATGCTTTGGGGGTTACGAAGATCTTTTTTGAAAATGAAAATATTCCTGCGGGAAGTTTAGGCATTATTTCCTCCATGGGAGATTGACTTATATAAAATCGATGCTTCAAAGCTTCTGGAAAAATGAAGGTTTGCATTAGAGCAGAGAGGAAACCTTTGAATTTTAGAGTGGAAGGAAAAACTACTCTTTATTTGCAGATAGCAGTCATTTATTCATTCAACAAATATTTAGAGAATAGCTACTATGTGCCAGGTTCAGTTAGGCATATAGTAGGTATTCACTAAATATATCATGGTAGGGAGTGCAATACAGAGAGTAAAGCAGAGAAGCTGGACAGGGAGAGTGCAGATGAGAGGTGTTGCAGTTTTTCTTGGATAGTCAAGGAAGGCCAAGAACCATGAGGCTATAGAGGAGGTAAGAAATACAAAAAGGGTTCAGAAAGAAAGGTGGGAGGACACAACAAAAGCAAGCTGTAATTTTGCACAGAATTCTGTTCGCTTTACCTTTCCTATTGAAATTCCAGCCATAGGGATTTTACCTGGGTCATGAAGCAAATCTCATCTTCCCCAGTTCTCTCCAGTCCATTTGTCTCAGTGTAGATGATATTGCTCTATTTTTCAGTCCTTCCTCTACTTGAAAATGGGAGTGAAAATGAAAAGAAACATAAGGCAGAAAGAGAAGTGTGTGATTCTAGCCTTCTCCCTCCCGTTTCCATGCCAGTTCTACATTTAAACAGCCTCTTCATTGTGAAAACTGTAGAACACACCTCTATAATTTCACCGGGCTACTGGCCTGTACAACAAGGATGTAACTTAATAAAATATACTGTACTGGGCACTTTGCCCACTGTGATGCACAGTGCAACATATTCTTCTTGACTAAAGAAGAGATTGATTCTGCCCATTGAGAAATGCAAAAGAAGGTACATCCATCTTGCTGAATGTATTAATAGGAAAGAGGATATCTTTCAGTTCCCCAATGAAATTCTTTCCTATTTGGAACCATCAGCTTATCTCCTCTAATCAACTTCTCTTCTTCAACCCTTTCTGTTTTTCAGTAATAATTCCATACACCATTACATAAAAACCCATGTTATTCCAGTTGGTCATTATATCATTAATGAGTAAAATTGGAAACTTAACAAACAGACAACATCTCACATAAAAGAACATGAAGGGTATACTTCATATGAAAATAAACATTGTGAAAGCAGGTTAGTTTATAAAAGGAAAGTTAACTAAATCAAAGATCAAATTCGTTTCTTAACAGCTTTATATGCCATGGAAATTAAAGTTGAAAAAGACTTGAAGACTGGAGAAAGTACAGTTCTGTCTTCAATACCTCTGCCATCAGAAGACTTTAAAGGTACAGGAATAAAAGTTTATGACGATGGGCAAAAGTCAGTATATGCGGTAAGTTCTAATCACAGTGCAGCATACAATGGCACTGATGGCCTGGCACCAGTTGAAGTCGAGGAACTTCTAAGACAAGCTTCAGAGAGAAACTCTAAATCCCCAACAGAGTATCATGAGCCTGTATATGCCAATCCCTTTTACAGGCCTACAACCCCACAGAGAGAAACGGTGACCCCTGGACCAAACGTTCAAGAAAGGATAAAGATTAAAACTAATGGACTGGATATGGATGTAAATGAATCCATACACAATATGGACAATGGTCTTTCAGAGGAAAGGGAAAACAACTTCAATCACATCAGTCCCATTCGGCCAGTGCCTCATCCCCGATCAGTGATTCAACAAGCAGAAGAGACGCTTCACACCCCACAAAAGAGGCTGATGACTCCTTGGGAAGAATCAAATGTCATGCGGGACAAAGATGCACCCTCTCCAAAGCCAAGGCTGAACCCCAGAGAGACAATATTTGGGAAATCTGAACATCAGAATTCTTCACCCACTTGTCAGGAGGACGAGGAAGATGTGAGATATAATATCGTTCATTCCCTGCCTCCTGACATAAATGATACAGAACCGGTGACAATGATTTTCATGGGATATCAGCAGGCAGAAGACAGTGAAGAAGACAAGAAGCTTCTGACAGGATATGATGGGATCATCCATGCTGAGCTGGTTGTGATTGATGATGAGGAGGAGGAGGATGAAGGAGAAGCTGAGAAGCCATCTTACCACCCCATAGCTCCCCATAGTCAGGTGTACCAGCCAGCCAAACCAACACCACTTCCTAGAAAAAGATCAGAAGCTAGTCCTCATGAAAACACAAATCATAAATCTCCCCACAAAAATTCCATATCTCTGAAGGAGCAAGAAGAAAGCTTAGGCAGCCCTGTCCACCATTCCCCATTTGATGTTCAGACAACTGGAGATGGGACCGAGGATCCATCCTTAACAGGTAATAAAAATGACAAGGCATGCCACTGCTGTTCAGTCATGTGACCAGCTTCTCTTGTGGTAACACAGTCTTGCTTTCGGCTTCTCTGACCACCTCATAAACTAATACACACTGAGATTTTTTTATTAATGCTGATAGGGATTATTATCACTATAGTAAAGTGATTAAATCACTTCAAAAGATAAAGAAAGTAAAAGTAAATCATTGCCTTATTTGATATTGTATTGATGAACTTTAATAACTTGAATTTCATCTTCTATCATGGTATGGTGCTGCTTGTCAGTGTATTTGGTTCACTAATATGTTGGATCATCAATAACATATCTTTTCCCACTAGAATCTTTTCACTACTTTATTTGTGCCTCACTGTGATTTAAACTTCTTATATAAGTTAACAAATTGCCTTAATTTTGCAAGAAAGTACAGGAAACAAATGTTATTTTCAGAGTATTTTATTACCTTGCTGTATCTTGTTTCTCCATATGTCTATAGTTTCATTAATTTTATTTTCCTAATTTTTCTACATTTTAAAATAGAATGTTAGTTTATTTTATGTTTTCTATAACCTTTAACTTTGCATAGTCTTCCCCAACTTGGCATATTTATCTTTTCCATTTTCTATATATTAGCATTTCTCATTCTTCATAAAATTTTTATAGCTTTATAGCAAACCAGCTATTTTAGCATTGAGTGGAAAATAACTTTAACACTTTTTTTCTACAAAAGTGATAGCTTCTCAATTTTAGATTCCTTGTTATCACTTAAATATTATATTCTAGTTATCATTTATAAAGAATAAATAAGAACCTGACAAAATCAGTTATAATAGCTGTACTTACCTTGGCTAAAGATGTAAATCAAATTACCCTGACATAACCTTTCTGTATGTTTGCTAGGGACAGTAATTTTAAATGTCTCTAATGGAAGGATTCTCATTAAAAAGCAATAAATATTAAGTACGGCTAATTTCACAAGTCGAACTTGATAATTCTATGGAAGTGCGGTAGTGCCTGCACAATTCAATAATATTTCTTCCTCTACAACTCATCAGCCCAATATTAGGTAGCTAATAATAGAGTAAAATGAACCTTCTCCCATTCTTTTAAGTAGTTACAGTAGGTATCCCAATGATGAATGTCATTACCTGAAGAATTTCTAAGCTTTTGGAAAGTATACACGCATATAACTTCCTCAATCAGAGTTGACTGATATGTCCCACAATGGAAAGCTGAAGATACTAAGTTTCTTTCCATCTTAAGAAAGAGCTTTGTTCACTGATCAAACTTTGCCATCTTAAACTCATTTTAAAAACAAAAAACACGGAAGACTTCGAAAAGAGGAACACGCTGTTTATGGTCAATAGCAGTGACATTATCCACTATAAAACCTCCCTTTCCTGAACTTGGATATTAGCCAGCTCCTCCTGAACACCCTTATTTCTTCTCCTCTAACCTTGTCAACACATTTACCCCATGGAAAATGACAGGAAGTGACTAACATTTCCAGACAACACTAATCATGCCCCTGAACTAAAATAATGAAAACAGGAAAACCTATTCCAGACAAAGTAACAATACAGAGTTCTGTATTATCAATCAAAGTATCTTATAAACGGAATGCTCCAAATTCCTCGCCTTCCACCATGATATTGTTTTACATTGCTGTTTTCCAATTCGGTGTACAGACTACAGAGCTGATGTGTATTTTTTAGGTAGGTTTTAAAAAATAAGTCAGTCACAGTGTCATATGCCCTCAGGTGCCATCCATATACAAAGAAAAATAACCACCTATGTACTCCAATTTCACAAACACCAGTGGGTTGAGCTTCTCCCCATTACTCCCCAAAAAATGCTCATGATACTTGAAAACTCACCATTTAGGTCAATTCCTTTGTTTATTATATACATCCCCTATTTAATATAAATAGCTCCAGTAGGCATAATAGTTAAGAATTGTTCGTCTTTTTTCCCTTGGTATAAATATGGTTATCAATGCCTTATCTAAGAGCAATTTTAGTTTGGAAAACTGCATGAAGAAGAAAGAAATGGGAAAAGGTGGAAGCTGGAGATTCTAAAGACAAGATTTTGTTAGTCAAAATTTTGAACAGAGTAAGACATGACAGAAAAATTCAGGCAACATTATGTCCATCTGCTTAATGTAAATATAACATGTTCATAGGATAAAGCTCAATGCCAGACACTTCCACCATTGCATGGCCCCAGCCAGCTCTGCGTGGGAGCTCACTGCTACCCCTACCAGTCAGCGGGTAGTAGCTGGCTTTCTTTGGTAGTCCTCACCAACCTATTCTTTTTTTTTTTTTTTTTTTTTTTTTTTTTTTTGAGACGGAGTCTTGCTGTGTCACCCAGGCTGGAGTGCAATGGCCAGATCTCGGCTCACTGCAAGCTCCGCCTCCCGGGTTCACGCCATTCTCCTGCCTCAGCCTCCCGAGTAGCTGGGACTACAGGCACCCGCCACCTCGCCTGGCTAGTTTTTTTTTGGTTTTTTTTTTGTATTTTTTATTAGAGACGGGGTTTCACCGTGTTAGCCAGGATGGTCTCGATCTCCTGACCTCGTGATCCGCCCGTCTCGGCCTCCCAGAGTGCTGGGATTACAGGCTTGAGCCACCGCGCCCGGCCTCACCAACCTATTCTTGTACTTCCAGCTCTATTCTGTCCTCTTAGAGATGTCAGTGGCATTCCAGGATGAAGTGGTGGGGACCTCAGCTCTGGGAGTTCACATGCTACTGCTGCTGATTGCCAACCTGCAACAGCCATTAGAGTCCAAGGGACACTGAGAGTAAGGAGACTTCTACCAAGTTCAGCCAGCTGAACCCATGCATCTAAAATGCTATGGGAAGAAGAAGCGGGGATCAGAGAGGAGCAGAAAAGAGAAGTAAAACAGAGAGCTGATGGCCCAGGGTTTTTAGCTGCTAAACCAGGTCTTCTATTGCCAACATGCTCTGGCCCCATGCATTTACCGGAACTCACACTATCTACTTGACATAGGCTTGAAAAAAGGAGAGAAAGGAAAGCAGACTCTAGCAAGCTTCTCTGAATGTCCACAGCACACAGGATGTGCCCAATTTATGGAATTGGAGTGACTGTAAGAAAAAGCAATTTGCCCGTGACTTAACAGAGACTCTTAAAAAGCCCCTCACTCCTACTCTCTTTTGTTGGTAGGGGCAAGGCAGAGGTCCATAAAATCCAACAGCAGAAACTTCATAAAGCCTTGCTTTCTGCCTTTGTTCACCTTCTGCTATGTAACTACAGCCTCTCCCAGCAATCGAGACCTGCTTGCTACAGAGCACATTCTCTCAGCTCATCCTAAATTCTAGGGAATACTCTTGGCCCTGCCACTAGACATGATCATCCCTCTTAAAGTTTCAAGGGAAATAATGCTCTTTAGCTTCATTGAAATGAAAATATTTCATACAAGTGGAGTGACAAAATAATCATGGTCTTGTTAAGAATTAGATCCCATCCCTTCTCATATTTGTGCAAAAAGTTTTCTTAGGCATGGGGTCATTTCCGTAGTCAAAAAGTAACCAATATATGGCATAGAAATGAGAAAACATGTCTTCCATTTTATTTTTCATTAGACAAAATTGTCCAATCAGTTACATAGCCTGTTCTGGGGCCATGTTACCCGTGAATGTAACATTAGATCATTAACATAATCTTTAGATCTGTGCCTTGAAAGCATCTCTCAACTTTTGGAACATGACTAAGGCAGCTATACACTGAAATCCTAAATAATAAGAATAGAGTATCAGAATACTTACTCATACAGAATAGCAGAAAAGTGTTATACATTCTATATCTACATTTTTTTAAATGCTTTCTACATTCAATATATTATTAGCAGAAGAATATTATCCAAAAAGATATATCTGCCATTTTAAAGCATGCTTATATCTTGACAAAGACATTTTATAATCACTCCAACTTTTAATAACTGGTTCACATTGTTTCATTCATAAAGAAATTCGTTCTTGTTATTATATATCCAAAGGCCGGAGCTCCTTTGGGAAAGGAAGTTGAATGAGCTGAAAGCAAACACAATCATGAAATAGAGTTTAAGTGTAAACACCATTTTATTTTGGCAGTACATAGCTCAGAAATGTACATAAAATACAGTCATCAACCTATAGGAATCTGTATGTATGGCTAATAGGGAAACTGTGCACTAATCCTGTATTTGTTCCACTTGTACTGTGTTTACTCTACTAATTTTTCTAATCTTTATAGAAATAGGTTCCTTCTAGTTCTGAACCTGCTTCTGCCCTAAGTTAACCATAGCTTATTATTTCTACTATCTTTTTGTGCTACTAAATCAATGCTCACATTGTTGGATAAAACCATCTGAGGTATGTTCTAAACTTTCCTGCATTCTATGAATGGCCATTTAGGGTAAAAAATTGAGGAATTTTTATAACTCTCTTTTTTTTTTTTTTCTTTAATTTGCAGCTTTAAGGATGAGAATGGCAAAGCTAGGAAAAAAGGTGATCTAAGAGTTGTACCACCTATATAAACATCATTTGGAGAAGAAACTAAGAAGCATTTGCAAATTTCTCTTCTGGATATTTTATTTTTTCTGAAGTCCAAAATATTATCATTACAATGTACCATATTAAGCCATGTGAATAAATAGTAGTCATTATTTGTGAAAAAATCCCAAAAAGCTGGGGAAAACAAACGTGTAACTTTTCCAGTTACTTGACATGATTCACTGGGGGAAAACCAGCATTTTTTATTCTATTGATACCAAAGCATTTCTAATAAGAGCTTGTTAAATTTAAGAATAAAGTTATTTAAAATATTCTGAGTGTAGCATATTAACTGGCATTGTGATTTTGATGATACAAAGATTGAAAGACAATAGGAAAGCATTGCACTTCATCACAGAAATATTCAACTCTGACAAATAAACGCGTCATCGTGAATTAATAATGCCTTAATAAAAGTACATCCTCCTGCTAAGTATCACTTCAGTTAGTTTGGTAGAGACTTCAAACCCTTGCCCATATCCAAAAGGTGCATCCCGTAATGATCCTCGGATGTGGGGACTGGGTTTGGATTGTCTGGCCAGTACACAGATGATAACTAGCACATTTATTCTTCTTAAATTATCATCCTTTCCTTCACTCAGTTCAATGTGAACCCTGTGGTGCAATGACCAATTATGACCTCAGGGTGTTGGATAGAGGATGTCCCATACCTTCAGAGAGCACAAATCTGGTCTAATATTTCACTGATTCTTGTGAACAAGTTAGACAGGGGTGGCCAATCTTTTGGCTTCCCTGAGCCACATTGGAAGAAGAATTGTCTGGGCCACACATAAAATACACTAATACTAACAATAGCTGATGATCTAAAAAAAAAAAAAAAGCACAATAACTCTTACACTGTTTTAATAAAGTTTATGAATTTGTGCTGGGATGCATTCAAAGCCATCCTGGGCCACGTGCGGCCCACGGGCAGCAGGTTGGACAAGCTTGAGTTAGAATCTTACTATTAAAATTAGTAAGAATGTTTACGGCATATTACTCCTAAGTATTCTTGCCAAGATATTCAATCCTAATTTGAAGCGGAGTACTCTCATAACAATAAATTCTTTCCTACCCTGCCTTATTATATGTCCCTCCTTCCAACCCCCTCAAGATCCACTCCTACACACCTTCCCCTGAATCATACCAGTATATATTACCCAGTTCCTCTTCCCATGAAAGTCTCTTTCCTCCCAGGACAGAAACTGAATTTCCCTGCCGGGACTATGTATGATCAGACTTCATCTTAATCATTGGTCTGAAGGTAATGAGACGTCAGAGAAGCAGATGATGCTGAGGAGGACAAGCATTAACCTGCAGAGCCTCCCCTCCAGCTGAGTGGTTTTGCAAGGGGCAGCTCTTCTCTAGTGGGAGGGAGCTACTTCTGGTGGCCTGAAATGTTCTGGGAAACCTGGAGGTTCAAATTTTTGAAGTAAAGTACTTTCAACAAATACCCCTATTCCAGATCCACGGACTCCTTCCCTTTCACAGCTCTGAGTTTAGCGTATGTGACCTCTCAAACCTGCACGTTCCTTTGTTGCCTTGCCAGCCTTAGGATTGAAGGAATAACCCTTAGGATTATTTTCACACAGTTTGCCTTCTGTCTACAACAGACATAGGTCTCTTTAAATATTGCCATGATGCCTGCCTGGCTTTCTGGAATGCCCCGAAATAGTTGGCTGGTCTGAGCCTAATTCTTTTTCTTCAGTTTCTAAGGCAATTATCAAAAAGCAGCCAACTTCACAGCACCTGTCAGTACATGACAATACTTTTGCCCCGTACTAGTCAAGTGCAGAGCTACTTTATAACCTACCTCTCCCCTTTTCACCTGTACCTCATCTCAATCCAGTATAAGGGAGAGTCTAGTAACTATAATAGTACAGAGACAAGATACTGCCTTCTGTTCACCTTCTGCTATGTAACTACAGCCTTTCCCAGCAATCGAGACCTACTTAACAGGTATTTTGTACCTGAGAACAAACCGTGGGTTATAACCCAACACAATTGCTGTTCAAATTGGTCCGGGTTTGGCTATTGACAGCTCATTCAGTTGGCACCTGTGCCCCTTTGACGTATCCCTATAAGTGATTTTGCTTTGTTTTTTCCTTACTTTCTGGCACTACAAGATGACCCAGTCTCACCTTTTTAGTAACTATACTAATACAGAGAGCCAAAGGTTGTTACCATTAACTTATCACACAGTCTTCATTGCCATCTGACCAGTGAGAGGACAGTCCAGTTCCAGAGTCCCATTCAGAGCATCTGCTGTGTAGAGCCACTCTTGGTTCCAACAAGAAGTACAGCCTGAAATTAGGACTTGGGTACAGTAGTTTGAGAAGTGATCCCAGGAGCAGGAAGAAAATCACAGAAAAGAATGGTAAAATATAATAGTATGTAATAAAAGTCAATGCTTTAGGCACCGGAGACTGAATTTTACCATAATCTCAAAGAGAGTGTACAGAAAGCAGTTAACATTGTCTGTCTGAAGGAAAAAACTAGGGCATTTATCCACCAGCTCAGGTCCCTCATTGAATGAGGGAGCATAAATTCCCCCCCACTTCTGGACTGCACTTTCATGAGAGTCACACAGGTTCCCGTAGTGCCCAGAGTGGAAAGAAGCACAGAACATGCCTCTCGAAGGATGGTAAGTCTGAACTTACTCGGAACTGTCCACTGCAGCTAGGGTGCTGCAAAAATGGGCCACGGGGAAATGACACAGGTACCAACAGTGTCTGCCACACTAGCTGTATAACCCTGGGCAACAAACAACTTACCTGAGCCTGTATCCTTATCTATAAAATGAGGTACATGTCACATGTCTAACACAGTCATCTGAAGACTCAATTTGTCCGTGAATTAAAAGACCCACGTGTCCTGCCCATCATCAAGTCTGGCTGAGGGGTCACACATGAAGGTAGACACCATACACCTTCATCATTTCATATCTTGATGTTTTGTATATTTGGCGTTCATTTTAGGTCAGTGGGACATTTCAAGTTAAGTGGAATAGAAGTAACTGAAGGAAAAGTTTGGGGAAGGGTAAGTGAAATAAAAGTTCAGGGTATTTTTTTCCCAGAGACATTCAGTTGGTTCAGCTCTATTTGTTGAAACACTATTATTTTTCACATTGAATTACCTAGACACCTTTGCTAATGAGTTAGTCTTAGAAGTGAGAGTCTACATATGGATTCTCTGCTCTGTTCCATTCATCTGCATATCTCTCATGAAAATTGCACACTTTTTTTTTTTTTTTTTTTTTTTTGAGTCAGAGTCTTGCTCTGTCGCCCTGGCTGGAGTACAGTGGAGCGATCTCGGCTCACTGCGAGCTCCACCTCCCGGGTTCACTACAGGCGCCCACCACCACGCCTGGCTAATTTTTCTGTATTTTTAGTAGAGACGGGGTTTCACCGTGTTAGCCAGGATGGTCTCGATCTCTTGACCTCGTGATCCGCCTGCCTCGGCCTCCCAAAGTGCTGGGATTACAGGCGTGAGCCACCGCGCCTGGCCACACTTTATTTATAGTGGCTAATATTGTAGTTTTGTAATAAATATTGGAATCAAGTCGTGTTAGGTCCTCCAATCTTACCTTGTTTTTTTAATACACTTTAAAAACAGTTTTAGATTAACAGAAAAATTGAGAAGACAGCACAAAATTACCACCTACGCTGTACTCAGATTTTCCTATTTTAACCTCTCACATTAGCATTGTACACCTGTTACAATTAATAAACCAGTAGTGATATACTATTATTAACTAAAGTCTCAAACTTTATTCAGATTCCCTTAGTCTTTAGCTAATGTCCTTTTTCTGTTCCAAAATCCCAAATAGAAAACCGTGGTATTTTAGTTGTCACGTCTCCTTTCGCTCTGCTTAGCTGTGGCTCTTTTTCAGATTTTCTTTGTATTTGAATGACCTTGACAGTTCTGAAAATTACTGAGTAGGTATTTTGCACTGGGGTACAAACCATGGGTTACAATCCAACACAATTTGCTGCTCAAATTGGTCCAGCTTTGGCTGTTGAAAGTTCATTCAGTTGGCTCCTGTGCCCCTTTGACATATCCCTGTAAGTGATTTTGCTTTGTTTTTTCCTTACTTTCTGGCACTACAAGATGACCCAGTCTCATCCTATGTATTTCTTACCCCAGTTCTAGAATCAGCAACTTATCCAAGAGTTTCTGTTGCTTTTATTGGAGAATAGTGTAGAAAACAACATCTGGGCACTAGGCATGCTCATTGCTACTTTGTCTTTTTAAATATTGTCTTGACCATTTGCAGTTCTTTGTCTTTCCATGTGAATTTTAGAATCAGTCTGTAAACCCCTTCAAACGAGGCTGCTAGGATTTTGATTGGAATTAAATTTATAGATGAATTTGGAGAGAATTTTCATTCTAATAGTGTTTGCCAATCCATGACCCCAAGAAACCAAAGGGCAAGATATCTACTTATGCCTTCTTTGTGCAGATGTGCAGAGAAGAACCTAAGAAGAAAAACCCAGTGGTCCCTGTCAATTTTGCAGAATTTTCCAAGAAGTGCTCTGAGCGGTGGAAGACAATGTCTGGGAAAGAGAAGTCTAAATTTGATGAAATGGCAAAGGTGGATAAATTACACTATGATCGAGAAATGAAGGATTACGTACCAGCTAAAGGAGGCAAAAAGAAGGATCCTAATGCCCACAAAAGGCCACCATCTGGATTCCTCCTGTTTGGTTCAGAATTCTGCCCCAAGGTCAAATTCACAAAGCCTAGCATCTCTATTGGAGATGTGTCAAAAAAGTTGGATGAGATGTGGAATAACTTAAATGACAGTGTAAAACAGCTTTACCTCACTGTATTAGTTCAGTCTCACGCTGCTATGAAGAAAAACCTGAGACTGGGTAATTTATAAAGGAAGGAGGTTTAATTGACTCACAGTTCCGCATTGCTGGGGAGGCCTCAGGAAAGCAGAAGGCAAGGAAAAACAAGCAACTTCTTCACAGGGTGGCAGGATGGAGTGAGTGCCAATAGGGGAAATGTCGGACACCTGTAAAACCATCAGATCTCGTGAGAACTCACTATCACAAGAACAGCGTGGGGAAAACCGCCCCCATGATCCAATTACCTCCACCTGGTCCCGCCCTTGACACGTGGGGATTATAGGGATTACAATTCCAGGTGAGATTTGGTTGGGGTCACAGAGCCAAACCATATCAATCAGGAAGGCAGCAAAGCTGAAGGGGAAGTGTGAGAAGGATGTTGCTGACTAGCAAAGTCTAGAAAGTTTGATGGTGCAAAGGGTCCTGCTAAAGTTGCCCGAAAAAAGGTGGAAGAGGAAGATGAAGAAGACGAGGAGGAAGTAGAGGAGAAGGATGAATTTAAAAAAAAAACTATCTATTTTAAAAATGTGTTTCTATAATGACTTTGTATCCTACAACTCTGATAAGTTCAATTGATTTTAGCATTTTTTAAATATATTCCTTAGGATTTTCTACTTAATGATGAGGTTGTCGGCAAATAAAAACAACTTTACTTCTTCCCTAATCTTATGACTTTTATTTCATTTCATTGCTTTATTGCACTAAGGCTTTCAGTTCAATGTTACATATAAATGCAGAGAGCAGGCATTCTTTGCCTTGTTCTGATTTTTCAGAGGGGAAGTATTATCTTTCACCACTGAATATCATTTTGGCTGTAGGCTTTTCCTGGATGCTATTTATTACATTGAGGAAGTTTCCACTTCTAGTTTGCGAAGTTTTTACCATGAACGTGTTTTGAATTTTGTCATATGCTGTCTCTGCATTTGTTGAGATCATCAAATGGGTTTTCTCCTTTCATCTCTAATCTGGTGAATTTCATTGACAAATTTTTCAGATGTTATGCCAACAGTGCATTCTTTGCATAAATCTCATTTGGCCTTGATGTTTTACTCTTTGTGTAAGTTGCAGAATTTAATTTGCTAATATTTCATTAAGTGCTTTTTTTAATTACAGATTTTCAGTTTATGTTCACGGGGAATATAGTCTGTAGTTTCCTTTTCATGTGATGTTTTTGTCTGGTTTTGGTATCAGGGTAATACAAGCCTCATAAAATTAGTTGAGTAATGTTCCCTACTGCTCTATTTTCCAAAAAAGTTTGTGTACTCTCAATGTTAGTTCTTCCTCAAATGTTTGCTGGAATTCAGCAGTGAAGCCATTTGGACCTGGAGTTTTCTTTCTGGGAAGATTTTTTGGTTACAAATACAATTTTTTAATTTTTATTTTTAATTGTGGTAAAAATACATTAAGATAAAATTTGCCATCCTAACCATTTTTAAGTGTACAATTCAGTGGTGTTAAGAAAATTCACATTGTTATGCAACAAAGCCCTAGAACATTTTCCTCTTGCAGCAATGAAACTCTATACCCACTGAACATCATCTCCCCATTTCTCCTTTCCCAACCCTGGCAACCACCATTCTACTTTCTGTTTCTATGAGTTTGACTACTTTCAATACCTCATCTAAGTGGAACCATACAGTATTTTTCTTTTTGTGATGCCTTATTTCAGTTAGTATCACGCTGTCCAGGTTCACTCTTGTCGTTGCATGTGACAGGATTTCGTTATTTTTTAAGGCTGAATAATATTCTATGGTATGTTTATACCACATTTTTTTCTTCCATACATGGGCATTTGAGTTGCTTCTGCCTCTTGGCTCTTGTGAATAATGCTGCAATGAACATGATGTGCAAATATCTCATAGAGATCTCACTTTCAATACTTTTGAGTATATACCCAGAAGTGGAATTGCTGGATCATATGGTAATTCTATTTTTAATTTTTTTGAGGAACATCCATACTCTTTTCTGTAACCATCGTTCCATTATATATTCCAACCAACAATGCACAAGGGTTGCAATGTCTCCACATCCTCACCCAACACTTGTTATTTTCTGGGTTTTTTTTATAATAGCCATTTTCATGGATATGAGGTGATATCTCATTGTGGTTTTGATTTGCATTTCTCAATTATTAACGGTATTAAACATCTTTTCATACACTTGTCGGCCATATGTATATCTTTGTTGGAGAAATATCTATTCAAGTCCTTTGCCCATTTTTAAATTTGGTTACTTGGTTTTTTTGTTGTTGAGTTGCAGGAATTCCTTATATATTCTGCATATTAACACCTTATCAGATATAAGATTTGCAATTATTTTCTCCTATTCTGTGGCAGAAATTTTCACTCTATTTCTTTTGATGTACAGGAGTTTCAAGATTTGATGTAGCCCCACTTGTCTATTTTTGCTTCGTTGCCTATGACTTTCGTGGTCATATCCAAGAAATTTATGACTAAATCCAATGTCATGAGCTTTTTCCCCATGTTTTCTTCTAGCAGTACAGTTTTAGGTCTTCAGCTTAGGCCTTTCATCAATTTTGAATTAATTTTTGTATATAATGTAAGGTAAGGGGCTCACTTCATTGTTTTGTATATGGATATTCAGTTTTCCCAACAGCATTTGTTGAAGAGACTGTCCATTCCCCATTGAGTGATCCTGGCACCCTCATCAAAGATCATTTGACCATAGACAAGAGGGCTTATTTCAGGGCGGTCTGTTCCATTCACTGATCTATATGTCTGTTTTTATGCTAGTACCACACTATTTTGATTATTGTAGCTTTGTAATATGTATGTAATTCAAAAATCACAAAGGGTATAGTATAGAAAATTGTATTTTTTGATAAAAATGCAGATATTCCTCAGTAAAAATATATTCTCTTTCTGTGTTAATTCTTCCAGCATAGAAATCTTTAAATGACTATTATATAAGATAATTCATACCTTAGAGGTAAAGGTGGTATATATTTATGCAAATTCCCTGCATCCTTCCCAACACTTTTTACCTTTTTTTATTACAGCCATTCTAGTGGGGATATAGTAGTATCTCAGTGTGGTTCTGATTTGCATATCTCTAATGAGATATGTTCAGCACCATTTCATGTTGAGCATCATTTCATGAATTTATTGCCCATTTGTAAATATTTAAGAAATGTCTGTTCAAATAATTTACCAATTTTTAGTTGGATTGTCTTCTGAGTTGTTAAAATTCTTTGTATATTTGATACTAGTCTCTTACTTGATTTACAAATACGAATACATTCTCCCAGTCTGTGGGCCTGTCTTCACATTCTTCATGCTGTCATTTGAAGCACATAAGTATCTATTTATAGCACAGTCCAATATATCAGTTTTTTTTCCTTTTATCCCTGTGCTTTTTGTACTATATCTAAGAAATCAATGCTTAACCCAAGGTCACAAAGGTTTAGTCCTGTGTTTTCCCCTAAAAGTTTTATAGTTTGGCCCTTACTTTGAGGCCAAAGATCAATTTTGCATGATTTTTTTTGTTTATAGTGTGAGGTGGGGGTGGAGGTCTAAATTTATCCTTTTGTATATGATATCCAGTGTCCAGGCACTATTTGTTGACAAAGCCAGTCTTTACCCCCTTTGAACTCCCTTGGCACCCTGCCAAAAATAAACTGATTACAAATCTAAAGTTTTGCTTCTGAGTTCATAACTCTATTTGATTAATTGATGTCTCTCCTTATGCCAATATCATGCTGTCTTGATTACTATAGCTTTGTAGGTTTTGACACTGGGAAGTGTTATGTTCTTCAACTTTGTCATGTTTCAAGATTGTTTTGCCTATTCTGGGTCTTTTGCATTTCCATAGGAAGTTTAGAGTCAGATCTCAATTTGTTGCAAAAAAAGCCAGCTAGCATTTTGACAGTGATTGTGCTGAATCTGTAGAACAATTTGGGAAGTATTGCCATATTGATACTAGTATGTCTTCCTGATCCATGAACATGAGATATATTTCCATTTCATTCAATCTTTGGTTTCAACAATGTTTTGTAGTTTTCAGTGTACCACTTTTGTGTTTCTCTTTTTATTCATATTTTAATCTTTTATTTTACTGATTTGTATTTAATTGTATTTTCCTAATTTCACTTTCAGGTTTTTCATTGCTAATGTTTGGAAATGCTGTTGATTTTCACATATTGATTTTGTATCCTGAAATCTTACTAAACTCATTTATCACTTCTAGTAGTTTAGTGAATTCCTTAGGATTTTCTATTTATGATTATGTTATCTGTAAAAAAAAGGGGGACAGTTTTACTTCTTCCTTTCCAATCTGAATGCCTTTTGTTTCTGTTCCTTGCCTTATTGCCCTTGCTAGAAACTCCAATACAACATTGATGCAAAGTGATGAGAACAGACATACACTTGTCCTGTTCCTGATCACAGGGGCAAAGTGTTCAGTCATTCACCATTAACTGATATTCGTTGTAGGTTTTCCTTAGATGCTTTTTATCAGGCTTCACACGTGTTCAAGGGTCAACCAGAGAGAGATGTGGGCAAACAGGATTGGGGATCCCCTCTCTCGAATTTTCCTTTTCAGGATCACCCACCAACTCCAGCAGCTTCAGTTGCCCCAGCCATCAGTCCTCTGATTTGCTATGCCAGAGAAACTGCAGTTTTTCCACTGGATCCTCTATCACCTAGCAGTCTACTGACTACAACTGCCCTGAAGCTAATATGTAGAAACAGAGCTCACGCCAAATAATTTTCCTCCTCTGCATGTAGACTCCTCACCAGGAACCGTCCTAGAGTTGTTAAAATTCTTTCTATATTCGATACTAGTCTCTTATGTGATTTGCAAATACAAATACATTCTCCTAGTCTGTGTGGGCTGTCTTCATATTCTTGACACTGTCATTTGAAGCACATAAGTATTTATTTAAAGCATAGTCCAATATATCAGGTTTTTTTTTCTTTAATCCCTGTGCTTTTTGTACTATATCTAAGAAATCAATGCTTAACCCAAGATCACAGAGATTTAGTCCTGTGTTCACTCTCTGAGGCCCTCAGGCAGCTGCTTTCTGAAGTTTACACTGGTTTTCTGGAGAAGGGTTGATTTGGTAGGCTCTTACTCAGACATTACTTGCAGTGCAAGTCAGATATTTAGAATGTGTGATTTCAGGAAATTCTTATCCCAAGAGTTTGATTACTATACATCAATGTCTAATTGAAAAATCCAAAAGCGTGTTTAGGTCTTCAG